AGCCATGAGAGCTTTGAGAGCCCACAATCGCAACAAAAGAGATGGAGAGTTACCTCAAGAAGGTGCTACTTTCTGCATCTGTCATAAAGCACCACAGCCCAACATGCTCACCTGTTCCTTATGCCTTGACCTTTTCCATAGTAAGTGTAACAGTACAACTTACTCTCAGACTTACGTTTATTTTAGAAAATTGTTTGGTAAACCCTCTAATCCAGTATTTTAAGGAACATTAACTTTTTGTTATCAATAATTAGTTTTAAGTAACTGGGTAACCAGTACATGAAAGTGTTGGCCTTGAGAGACAAGTTTTTCACAAGTTCTCTTTTTCTTTCTTCCCTCATAGCTGGTTGTGTACCATCGTCTCATCGCAGTAAGGTAAAATTGAGCAACGAGGGAAGGTTCTTGTGCCCATCATGTGAACGTTCCAGAAGACCCCGATTGGAAACCATTTTGTCACTTCTTGTAGCCCTCCAGAAATTGCCAGTCAGGTAAGAAAAGATTGTGTGAAAACTAGGTTTGTTTAAAAAAAGATACAAATTGAAGGTGGCATTTGGAATTATATGGGAAATTATGGATGTTATTTATTGTATGATAAATGAATAAAAGATGAGAAAAATTTAAGGTGGGTTATGAAAGTTAGGGATTTGAATTGGTTTTATTATATCTATAGCAGTTTTGATGCTATTAGATTAGGTTAAAGTGTCCCACTTCATGTTTTTCTCCACAGATTGCCAGAAGGGGAAGCTTTACAGTGCTTAACAGAAAGAGGAATGTCCTGGCAAGACAGAGCAAGACAGTTAATGAAAACAGATGAATTAACAGCTGCTCTTGGTAAGCTGTCTGTGTTCTCTCAAAAGCTTATTGAGGCACAGGCAAAACAACACAAACCAGTATCACCTCAAACACAAGATGATGTAAGTATAAAGATCATAATAATTCTGGGTGCTGTTAATTTGGTGATATTTTTCCTTCTTCATTCCATGCTATACAGGTATTTACCATACATATCCTAATCTTGTTTGCTTCTTTGTCATAGGAAAAAATGGAAGTAGACGAGTCTACAAACGACGATTCTCTTTTGAGTGAGGATGGAGAGAAAGAAAAGGATGGAAGAGGGGAAACAGAAGGAAAGAATGATGCAGACAAAGAGAATAGTAAGAAAACTGAGGAAGGAAGTTGGGAGCATGCCTATTCCAGTAGCAAAGGTGGCAAAGAAAAAAAATCAGAGATTGACAAGGTTCGATGGAGTCGCCTTGTGGCAAGTGTGATGGAAAATCACGACGGCCCCCTTATTACTCTTACTTCTGCTACCCGATCTCAAGTGCAGGACCTCTTAGTCGAGGGTGAGCTCTTAGAGGTGAATCTTGATGAGACTACACACCTGTGGAGAGTATTACAGGCTGCCAACCATCCACCTGCAATGTTAGAAGATACATTATTATCTCTCAATTCAACGGGTAATAATAACGATGAGAACAAAACAAAGAAATCAGCTCCAAAGAAAAGAAAGTCCCAAGGTGAAGGAATGGAAGATACACAACCAAAATCTCCACACAAGTCTCCCCTTAAAAAGTCCAAGATTTTAAAGGTTTCCTCTGGACCTACTGATGGCAAACCAACAAAGGGGATGATTAAGAAGAAGCAGGCCCTTGTAAAGAATATGGAGAAGAAAAAGAAGGAAGGAATTACCACCAGCAAAGAAGGTCCAAGGAAGAAGACTATGGCTGGGGTCAAGAAGAAGAAAGTACACTCCAACTTACACAGTGATGACGACGATGATGACTCAGATGAAGCTTGTGCAGCAGAAAAGTGCCAACATCCCACAGGACAAAACGTGGATTGGGTGCAGTGTGATGGGTGTGAGGGCTGGTTCCACTACATTTGTGTTGGTTTGAAGGCAGGAGATGTACTAGAAGATGAAGACTATATGTGCTTGGCTTGCACCACCAAGCTACCTGCACCCAAGGTAGGATGCGATACAGCCACAGACTAAGGGTTAAAAGGAATGTTGGTCATGCTTAAAACTTCAGAAATTAAAGAGTGGTTGTTAGTAAGATTTGCACTGGGTACTGCAGTTATGTTTTTCTTTTCTGACCAAAATATAAGCCTTTCATGTTTTCATTTTTTTTTATTTTGCTTATAGTATAAAAGGGGTGGGAAATGTGTCACATATTTCAAGTTCACCTCTGTTATCTAAGGAAGGGATATTTAATTTTTCTAGTTCATAACAGAATGCAACAATGCAGTACTCGAGTGAAGGATACAGACATATAGAGAGCCTCTCGAGTATTTGAGATGCCTGCCAAATAACAAAAGTTGGGGGAAACTGATGTACCATTAACTTGCAGCCAGGGGAGTTGACGGAAGAGGAGAGTGTGGACATCCTCCTCAGCCTTGCCACGAGCCTACCACCCAAGGAGTCAGAAGAACAGAAGTAACTCCTGCTTCACAGTGATTCAAAGGGAATGTCAAAGTTTTAGCTTGTGATAAAGTGTTGTATAGCCAAAACAGGAAGAGGAGGTTTAGGTATCATGGTTTCATCTGGTTGTGGCTCTGAAGAGGAAGAATAGAAGCGCTCACATTCTCCCAGTATTCAAAGACCTGGCTTAATATTTACAGTATAGTTCCACCGATAACAGAGCATTCTGATTTCTGTGACAGACAGACAACTGTATTTTTGTGGTGTCATCGTATACGGAAAATAGTTTTGCATTCCTTTTGAAGGAGTCTTTTTGAATAAAAGGAATGTGTTTTTCTTAATCAGATTACACTTTGCTTCTCTTAGTATTATGATTGCCTTTTTATGGGGCAAATAAGGAAATTAAAAAGTATTTATAAGTCATAAACTTTGCGTGTTATTTTCAGCAAATATCTGTCAATACCTGGTAACACTACTGTGTTTTGTAGACGACAGCTCTTACCAGAAAGATGATGTTTGTTCTTTACAGATACCCCTCATTTAGAGCTTAAGATTTATATTCCTTTATGAAGTAGCCATGGCCAAGCAGATAGATCTGACACCCTCACTTTCTACAGGCAAGAGCTCGTAGGAGGCATAAACACTCCTCTTATAAGAAGGTTTGATTACAAAGGCCTAGTTCTCATGAACTCAAACCATGGGATTTGAAGTTGTAAAACACTCCTTTGGGTAGGTTATCGCATATGAGTGGTTCTGTATTGAAGATTTTCAGATTATTTCTTGGCCAGAAGTCCTGTGTTATCACAGCCCTAATGCAAATAGTTTTGTACAAAGCCCTGATTATTTAATGGTATCATGCTGTAGAATATATGCTGTATCCTATGCTGTCAGTATGTGCAATTGCATAGATTCTTTGGATACTTCAATTATTCCTTATCCTATTCAAACTTTCCCTCAACGTACAAAGCTCTTGCGCCTCAAGTCCACTTCAGACATTCGTTTGACATTATAGATAAAAAGTTTATTTTCAAATATTGTAGAATTTACTTTCAAAATTTAAGAAATGCTTCTGTGTTTTGCAGGATTTTGATTTGCTGTTACAATGAATGGCTCAACTAGTCACTGTATTTTTTTTTTTTTTTTCTTTTTTCTCTTTTCTCAAAAGATGAATTAAATAGCTGACAGCTGTCCAAATAGTGAAGCACCACCTGAGATAAAATACCAAATATGTATCTATTACTGTCGAGTTATTACTGACCTGATATTATAACATCTAGTGCAAACTTCATGATTATCCTTTTATACAACAGAAAAAAATATATAAATGTATATAAATCTGGGAGGTATGTTCTGTTCTCAGGTGGTGTCTCAAAGAGAGCCAAGTGCAGGAAGGTCTGCTATTGTGTGCCTTTGGTGCGAGTCTCTGTTTAGAATGACTTTTGTTAAGAAAATTTTAAAAAGTCTTATAGAATATGATACTGATTCTGTAAGAAGATATATAGGTAGGATAAATATTATGCACTGATAATTGCCTTTTTTCACAGGATTTAGCATAACATTTGGTTCATGGAGGAAAAAGTATTGGTCAGTTATTCATCATACATGTTGAAAAGGAGCATGTAGAAGTGGGTATTGCCTGCACCAGATTTTTACATTAGCAGACCTCAAAATTTTATGAAGAGTGTCACTTCCAGCTTGTGTAGGTGCTAAGTTTGTCTTTTATACAATCCATGTATTCATTATGTCACTCACCTCATGAACCTACCCAAAAACCCAACACTGGGTACTTGATCTCAGTTGCCACACACATTACATCAGTTGCTTTCAATTAGCCTTGTCGAGGCTATTATAAAAGAGTTACTGCTTTCTTTCTCTGTATCAACAATAGTTCTGTGGTTTTGTTTACCAAGTATTATTATCATGTACATAGGTTCATGCCAAATTGTATATTTCTTTTCTTTTTTTGTTTGATTATAGAATCCTCTTCATTAAATGTGCTTTGTTATAACTTTTAAGATTATTTCACCTGTAGAGATGCTAACCTAAGGGATAAACAGTAATAGTAAGCTCACAAAAATTTACAATTGCACCAGGGGGAGATTCACTGTTTCTTCCATACACTTTTTGCATACCGGTACTGTTTTCCTGACGGTGACTCTCCTGTGCTGAGTGTGCCTCCTTGGGGCAAATACAGAGGACAAATTGGTAATATATTCTATGTGCCCTGTGCCATAAGGCTACATAATATATGGATGATCTAGGTTGTCTTTGTTTGTATGACTATTTTCCTCATATTGAATTGTCATGTCACTTATTTTCGATTACATTTTTTCATCATCACTTTTTGTGTGTAAATAAAGTCAGTGTCCATTGATGCTAGGAATTCTAACCAGTGGTAAATCACTTGTTTCTTATGTCGCCTTTATATGAAGACATTACTGATTTGTGCCTCAATTTACCAGTGTACCTGTGTTAGTTTAGCTGCACTGCTCTTGGTATTAAAGAATACCTTGAAGGCTTCTTGAAGATGTTTTATTAAAACCTATAAATTAATTGGCTACTAAAATAATGCTACTTTTACTATTTCATCATGGTAGATACCTATTGTCAGATTTTTATTAAATATATTACTTCATGTAAGGGAGGAGAAATTGAGCAGTTTATATCGCATCAAATTGTGGAAGCTAGGAAGTCGATATCAGATTCTGAAAGAAATAGTCAATTTTGTGCAGGTCTTATATACATTTTGTCAATCAGAATGAGGGTTTTTTGTTTAGCTGTATAATGACTTTAATCAAGGACGCTTGAATATACAATTATCTTAGTTTATTAAGTGCTGGATAATCCTGCCTATTTCTAGAAAATAAAGCTTGCTAAACTAGCACTAGCACATTTGCATTTTTGACAGCCTCGCTAATGCCTTTCCTAATCCGCTTTATATGTATGCTGTTCCAGTACTTGTTATTCAATATTATGTAGTGATTCAAGTATTGAATCTGGACATCGACAATTGTGACAGTTTCCTATTCATGTAGACGTAATTATTGAAACGATTTCATGTTAACAACGAAAAAAATAGCCAAGAGGATTCATTCTAGTAATATTGAAAGCATGAGAGAAGCTACTTACAGTATACTCTGCATATGTTCTTTGATGTGTTGTTGATAGTGCTGACATATTTATGAAATGTTTACAGTTTCAAAAGATTATTATGAATAATGGAAAGTCAATTATGGTACCATTACCGTTGACGGCTTTTCTGAAAAAAAAATGGTATAATTTGAATTTTGTTGCGATGGTAGTAACCATACATACCTTCCATGTACGCTGTGGAAGGTATGTATGTACATATGTTATGTCTCTTCCACGAAGGAGCTACATATGCAGTTATAATTCATTGTTTATAATTTTGAGTTGTGTGAGAAATAGATCAAATAATGCTTTAGGTCATAATTAAGTTGAATTTTAATGAAAGGGGTCATTTCTCTAATTCCACAGTTGTAGCAGAAGTGCTGGAAGCTGTTTACTGCATGTAGCTTCTCAAATATATATTTACATATTTGCCAAAATGTAAATTTTACATATTACCAGATACGCACTAGAGAGGACTGTGCATGTTTACTCAGCATAAAACTTGGGAAGTTATTAAGATTTGCTTCTGAATTTAGACATTTTATGTACACCAATTTCACTGCCCTAGCATGAGGCTATTGCATTTACTACTACTATTTTACTACATTTTACTTCATAACATAACCATTATTACAAGAAGACATTTCACTTGAAACTTCTTGAATCAAAGAACTATTAAAATTTGTGAATATATTGTACAGGAGGTCCTTTGCATCCTGTACATTCACTGATTAGTCTGTTTGCATTTTGTCATTTGTGGGTTTTTATCACTTTGGAATACCTTTCATTGAGGAATAATGGTAGGTGCCACTATTATTTGCAGATGTCGCTGCATTGTAAGATTTGCGATGGTGATAATTTGGTGTCAAAATAATGGGATAACTACATCACATATATTTTGGGTTATGATTGCTTGAATGGGCCTTAGTATGCATGTTTACAAACTGCCAAACACTCACTCTCATACTCTTATACACTCACAATGTACACGTGCTCTCTCTCACACTCACTCACTCACACACGCACACACACACGCACACACACACACTCACACTCACACTCACACTCACACTCACACTCACACTCACACATACATTTACTCTGCTTACACTTCATCCATCCCCCATCTCTCTGCTGCCATTCCCTCCACACTCAAGGTGACTGCCAAGAGCCATCCTCCTCCTACTCGTTTACCCTTACACCTCATGGTGACCCTGAGAAGTAAACCGCTTCTCTCCTTAGCATATTTCAGACTCACCATAGCCAACCCCCAATCCCTTGCCTGTTGTTGTCGGGAATGAAAGAATGACAGGCTGACTTTGTGCCAGTCCTGAACGGCCTGAGGGAACCATGGGCACGGTATTCCCCTGCTTTAGTTGTCTAGCCCTTACTCCTCACTGTTTCTCTCCCCTAGGTTTACTGTGGCCAATAATGAAGATGTTATACCATTATTAGGGGCAATGAGGCTTGCCCCTTCATCAGATAGCCCCACCAATACAAACTCTCCCGATTCCCCGGCCCAAGGCTCTCCTTTGAGTACGGCTCCGAACAAAAAATGCCTCAATGCCTACTAGAACATTATCCACCTAAATCAACCCTCAACCCCCAAGAGACCTTTCTACTCTCCCAATATGCTCAACTTCATCATCTCTTCCCCCACAACCTTCTTCATCAACTACCCCATCCTCCCTTATTATTACTTCACAGCCTTAATGTCCACTTCTCCACAATACTACCTCCCTCAACACTACTCACTCCTACTTCAGTAATGTCTCTCGCTCTGCCCCTCCCCCTGCCTCTCAAGATGTTCCTACACCCTCCGCTATACCTACCCCTCCTACATCTTACTTTCCCACTTCTACCTCCTACCTCCTACCTTCCCCAGTCAAATTCTTTGGACATTCTAAATCCAGACACTGCAATCTCTACTGCAGCCACACCACCTTCCCCTCTCCCTCCCCGCACTACCCACAGCAGACAGATTAAACGTTCCACCCCTTCTCCTACCACACATTCGCCTTCACCTGCCTTTGCCTCTACTCCCCAGACACCAGTCTCCTCTTCTCTCCATTCCAATCCATTACAGAAACTCTGGAAGACATTCAAAACTATCTACTTCGGTCCCAAACTAACACTGAAACCCCACATCCACCCTCAAAGTCCACAACTCCCGCTCCTTCCACACTCAAATTGGCTGCCGATATTCATTCTCTTCCTACTCACAATCCCCCTACACCCTTTCCTCCTACTACCTCCCAACACAGCCCATCCCCCCCAGCTCCAGCTCAACCTATATTAACCCTCCCGCCATTCCCTCTATCCCTTCCACTCCGCCCTGGATACACACGTGAATCCCTTATGTCACAACTATCCACTTTCCCAGATCCTCCACCTCCTGATACCCTTCCTGATACAACACCACCTCCCCCCTCTCCTTCCTTATATCACCCCCTAGCTCCTTCAAATTCCAACACGCACTCTAACCATTATCACTCATAAATCAACTAAAGTAGAACTATCTTTCATTGGAGTGTTCGCGGTTTCCGTTCTCACAGACCCGACCTTCTTCATATCCTTTCCTCTTGTAAACCATCCATTATATGCATAGGCGTAGGAGCCAGGGGGCTCGGGGGGCTGCAGCCCACCCATTCGGGTAAATGCCGGTTGAATTCGGGCAATTTTGGGCAGGGGCATAGATAGGAAAATTCATAGAGGGGGCAAGAAATGAAGATATCCCGACAAAAATTTGACACTAATTCTCATTTTTGATTATTTTGAACATAACATAAGGCCACTAGAACTAAACGAAACAGACAACCATCGTTATTTTTCCGACAATTGCAGAAATTTTCCGACAAAATGGCAGTTTAGCCTTAAAGGTGGGTTTTTCTCCCCTCCACCCTCCCCCCTCTATCTACGCCACTGGTGGCATTCATCACAAATTTTCTGGCCGATGAAATTTCTCTTCCTTTCACTCGGGCAGAAAATTTGCAGTCCCCCCTAAATTTTAAATGCCCCTACGCCGATGATTATATGCCTTCAAGAGACTTTTCTTACACATCCTCCTATACCAATTCCCAATCACCATTTTGTCTCGTACTTACATTCCCTTTGTCTCGTCTATACTTTTCAATCACAAAACGTCTTATGTCATACCTCTCTTTCAAAGCACTGTCCCTTGTACAGTTATTTACATCTTTCTTCGCCGCCGTTTCTTCCCTTCCCACCCCATTGACTTTGTCGCCTTTGAAAATCTAATTTCCCAACTCCAACCACCTTCCCCCATTGTTGGTGATTTTAATTGCCGCCACACTCTTTGGGGGTATTCACTCCTGTATGCTCAGACAACTCCCATCTTCCCCCTATCCTTCCTATTAACAATTTTCAACCACATGCGGACGTCATGATATTTTCCTTCTCGTTGGCGAGAAGCTTTTATCCTCCCCTTCCTGAAACCCAATAAATCGGGTACCCTCCCTCAAGACTATCGCCCCAACTACTAGAGCGAATGGTTAACTTCCCTTTAATGTGGTATCTTGAATCTCACAATCTTATAATCAGCTGACCCCCTTGCTCATTTTGAGATATATTACATCTGCATTTGACCTAGTAAAAGCATATGATACTACATGATGGTGCCACATTTTCCATCAGTTGTCCTCTTTAGGAAACATAGGTGACATTATAAAGTCTTTCCTCTGCAAATTAAATTTCCAGGTCAAAATTGCCTCTTCCTGATCATCCTTCTTTCCTCAAGCCGAAGGCATCCCCCAAGGCAGTGTGCTTAGTACCACTTTATTCCTTCTTTCTGTTAATGACATTATCTCAGTAGCCTGGTCATCACTATATGTTGATGATTTAACAATCCACGCAACTGGCACATCCATACCAAATCTCCACTAATTCCTTCAGTCGGCAATATCATCACTATCTTCGTGGGCCACTAACCATGGCTTCCAATTTTCTACCACCAAATCTTTCTCCAACCTTTTCCCCCCCAATCCCTTGCCCGTTGTTGTCGTGGGGGGGCTTAGGAGGCGGAGACTGGGACCCAATGATGGGGAACTCCCCAACCTTGGGACTCAGCCCTCGACTCAACTAATTATGCATGGTCTTTTTTTCCCTTCCCACTTTTGTTTCTGTCCCTTCACCAAACCCTTCTGCTATCCACCTCCTAAGGTGTGAGAGCCGTGCTGAAAGGATGAAAGGCTGACTTTGTGCCAGTCCTGAACGGCCTGAGGGAGCCATGGGCACGGTATTCCCCTGATTTAGTTATCTAGCCCTTACCCCTCAAGGGGACCCTGAGGGGTGGACTGTTTTTATCCCCAACATAATCCAGGCTTCCCATGGCCAGTAATGAAAATCTATCTCCACTATTAGGGGCAATG